AAGCGGGGGGGGGGGGCCCTCCCAGGGAGGATGCTCTTCTGTTATTTGGCTGACCATATAGACTTGTTGTCACAAAATCCTAGGGTTTGGGGTTTGCCTCAACCCTAAACCCACTCAAAGACACGCTTTTTATGGACACAACATCCAAAGACCGAAACCATCAGAGATCTTGCGCCTCCTCCGGCGCCGATGGGGTCGCTCGGCCGAACTGCTCCTGAATGTGTTCAGTGCGATTTCTCTCTGGCAACCTCTAACTGTGAGGAGCTCAGGTGTCAAAGAAATTTGTAAGTGACCCCGGCAGTGGGCAATATATTGCACGCTGTCAGCATAAAAGTCTCTAGAGACTCCAAAGCAACTAGTCCTTTGCCAGATATGTGCTGATCCCTCAGTGAGCCCAGCGTCTCTGTCAACTTGATGCATGTACTTCACAAGACCTTGCTTTCGCTTGTTTATACCACGTTGACATTATCTCAACCTTTGCGGTGCAAAACAATCCGGTTTTGCTGGTCCATATGACCAAAAGCACAAGTTTGGGAGCCCATGGTTATAGGAGTCTCTGATGAAATCAAACTCAGCCTTAAGGAGCCTTGTGTCCAGCTCTGTTTGCAAAGTTCATGTGGAGCAGAGGCGTTAAAGCTTTTCCTCAGCCTTGGTGTGCACACCTGAAGCCTATAGCAATTGCGCAAGCCGTGCTCGCATACCCTGAGTTTCAGCAAAGGCGCGCCAAGCTCTTCCAGTTGTAGGCGCCCCGCAACATAGATCAGCCTCCGCGCAACCAAACAATGCTAGGAAACAAGCAGCTTTCTCATGGCACTGCCGGCTCCGTTGACTTTGCAAGAAACATGGGCGTCCCTACGACACTGCACGAACTGGCAATGACCACAACGGGAGCTTCCAGAGATAAGGAGGGGAATTTTTGTCAAGTCGTTGTTGTGTTATATATCCCTTAAACAAGAAAACTCTCCACATAGTCCCTGTATCCACTGAAACCCTGGTTTTGGAAACTGATCTGGGACGATCAGAAATCTGAGGCCGCGGCTGCTGTGGCCTTAGCCTCTTGATCACCGTGGCTGCTCCACTTTGCCCTACACGTTCAGCCAGGGATCGCCCGACCTCAATCCACTAGAACTTAGGTACAGGGCTTAGGCACGAGCATCGCACTCAAGCGGGCCAGGTATAAGGTTTAGGGTTTAGGGTTTGAGGTTTAGGGATGGCCTCACCTCAATTCAATAGGAGCTATAGTCTAAACTCCTAGTATCCCCCCTAGTAACCCTTATAATCGTCCCTTATATAATCCCTTATACATAACCCCCTGTAAGGAGTTTAGATAGTGGCTCGTAGAATTTAAGTAAAGTTTAGACTATAGGGTTGTCTTTTAAGTGGGTTTCCGCTTGTTACTGCCTCGTTGCTGTGTGTATAGAAAGGCTTCCTTAACTCCTTAAGGTATGTAGGGCGCAGATTCCCAAGGCCTGCATTCTACCCACGCTTGCAAGTCACCCGCACGGGCGATTTGGTGGACATGTAGGTGTCACTAATTCAGCATCTAAGTAAGATGGTTGTGAGCGCCTGTAGGCCTTGAAGATCTATGAAGCCGTTCAATAGCCGCAAACGCAGCCATATGAATACTGACGCTGCAGTATGAAACCGTCCTCTGCAAGAAATTGGACCTAGCGGCGAGCAGTTGCAGACGCATGCGCCGACCAGAGCCATCGGGAGAGAGCCTTAGAGTACCATCCATGCGTAGGTCCTGTTTTCGGGTAGCCGCGTGTATTTAGTACACCGTGGCTTGGCAAATGTCAGCTAGTCCAGTATCTCTAGGCTTGCAAACTTAGGGTGTAACGGTCAGGGGCACTAAGTTGTCTAGCCCACAGCACAGGTCGACACCACGTCACACATGTCAAGCAATGTTGGACTGAGAGACAAGTTCAGTCCATTCAAAGGAATCTCAAGGCAATTTCAAGCGTTTGCCATCACTGAAACCGCACGTGTACTGTCGCCGCACATTGAAACAATGCGACTGGTCCTACACAGCGCTACCTCATAAATTTGAGGAGTCCCACATACACGAACACTTTTCACCAAGTCACCAGATGCTTCGATCAGAGTCTCTGTCCGCCCCGGGCGGCAGCAAATCCGCGAACAACAGCTGGCGAGATAGGCGCCGGACAGCGGCAATCAAGACGACTGCATGTACCACGGTGCCTGGAAGTAGCAGTGCGTGTATGGATGGTGATGACAAAACACCCTACTGGATCGTACTGGCGCTGTGAAAAGTTGTGAAGAACAAGACCTTGTCGGGTTATACTTGCCGAGGCGCCAGGCCGTGGGCTCCGCATGGCGTCCAAATATTAAAAAAGTCCATTTCCGTGATCAATTCAAAAGGAATGCCTATGCCGAATCGCAAGCCCCATGCCTGTTCAAGAACCATTTCTCAAGGTAATATACGAGCGCATGCCAGTTGTGCATGCTGGAGGTTCCATCCTGCATAAATCTCTTATGCAACCATCCAGGAAGACACACGAAGCCCTCCTTTCAGCCTCCCATAGTTGTCCTGGCCTCCACCTGCACGCAAGGGGAAGAGGACTGGTGCAGGCAAGCCAGTGGGAGGCGGCTCATCAGATTCATCTGCGCCCGGTACTGAGGAGAGATTCGCGATGGCAGCCTGCAGATGAAAGGAAGAAGTACAGTTGTGGTAGAAGTCGCAGTAGCAGTAGCCCTAGCCGCAGCAGCAGCGGTAGTAGCAGAAGTAGAAATAGCGTAGCAATTACGAAGGAGAGAGAACTTTTTCCCCAGCCAACTGTGCTAAGCATGGAAAAACCAAGTGAGCATGCCAGCCCCCGCCCGTGTAGGGATATCAAGCTTGCTAACGAATGTCTACCAAGACTATGCCAACAAGGCTGCCTAGAGTGGGGCGAACTGGATGGTGGAATACATGCCTTCCAAACGAATAATAAGCCTGCAATATGCCTAGGAGCCAATACACGGACCAATTTACTTCCTGCCTGATGCCAGCAAGTCCCCGTGACATCCCTGGCGCATTCAACCCGAGAACCAACAGCCCCTAAACCCCAGACCCTTTTTGAAGCACGGACTGTGTTCTGAGGCAGGCGCATCTGCATTCAACAAATGTGAAGCAAGCAAGCTGAAACATGATATGAGAATGCACTGTGACAAAGCACTGCTGAAAAACACTAACTTGACGCGGGACTCTGTACGCCCTTGCCATTCTGAAGTCAGGGACCACTACAAACACGAATTTAAATCCTAACCCATGTAGTCCCCCCAACTGCAAACTCTAACCCCTAAACCCTAAACTTACTGGGGATGAGTAGGGAATAAAGGACTATAATCCCCATACAATCCCTACATGATATATTCCCTCATTCCCTACTGACCCCTAGTAGAGACCCAAGTGTTCTTGGAGACCTACCTCTGCTTCTCTAAGAAGAACGCGCGAGGAGATGGCCAAGTGCTGGTCAGGATGGGCCGCCCCGACAACCACGTGGCCGGGACAGCCGACCTGGGTGAGGGATTAGGGTTTAGAGTAAGGGTCTAGGGCTTAGCGTTTAGGGTTTAAGGTTCAGGCTTTAGATTTTAGGCCTTATGTAGGCCTTAGGGTTTAGGGCTTAGGGGGACCCTGTAGGTTGTGGGGGATACTATGGGTGGGACTACTTGACTATACAGAGTTATATAAGCGCTATATAAGGTAACGGAAGTAGGGGGTCCCTTCTAGGGGTCCCTCTTAAGAGCGCTGGAGTAAGGGCTAACCGGAGCCCGTGGCAATTGCAAGACAAAGGTAACTGTAGCTATGGCCCCATTAAGTACACTGAGTAGAGTAAAGGCTACTTGGAGACCCAGGGTTTTTTGATCAAATATACCTGTAGCTATAGCCCCACGATGTCCTTCAAGCATGGTTTTAGTTGCCATACCACTGTCGTGAAGACTGCATTGCAATTACCCTAGGCCTGCACGTAAGGGTAGCGGATCAGGGATGCAGGGCTTGAGGGTTTGGATCCAAAGGACCGGCTTCGGCTTTAAGAGTGCAAGATTTGGACGTCTAGGTTGGGAAGGGGTCGCGCGCTCTAGGAAATTGGTGGGCACAATGCTTCTGAAGTTGGAAGACCGTGAAAATCATGGGGAACTTACTCTGTGTTGCCATGCAGCCCTCCTTAAGTTTATAGTCCCCCTTAAGTAGATAGAATATGGGGTATATAGGGATCTTATTATAATATACCCAAAGCCAGTTTATCTACTCAAGGATGCTTCTAGGTCTTGCGGGAACGTCGAGTTTGGGATTCGGTTGTGCAGGGGCACGGCTTAGGTTGGGCATTGAGTCTGGGGCTTGGGATTTGATAGCCATGGGGCTGGGACTGCATACCTGCTCAATGTATCCATGATATTCATTTCCTTCACTGCTATAGCTATCATGTCTACTATCACTAGTCGTACTTATGGCGTCTGTTGTTTTCTCAAAGTATGCACTAACACTGATTTCTCACAAGCAATCTGACATCATGACTACTCTCACTCCCAATCTCGCTAAAGTTGGCGACCATTTTGGGCTTTTTTTGCTGTTAACTGTCCCAGTACCTGCAAATTGTGGCTTGCAAAACCACATGAATCGGCAGGGCCAACCTTGCCATGGAAAATGGACGTTTATGAACTTTATGTGGGAGTTTCCCAAAATTAGGGGTACCTTTTTGGGTGTCCCAATAATAAGGGTTATAGTATTTTGGGGTCTATATTAGGGTCCCCTATTTTGGGGAAATACCATGTGGCAACCTCTGCCATGTTCATCACCCTCTACGCGATGATTTTGACGAGTGCTCTTGCATGGTTTTACTACTATTGCTTTTGCCACTACCTCGCATGGTCCTCATGGGGAACTCGGGTGGGCTCAGGGGAGCCCTTTCAGGGTCGGCTTATGCACCTTTGCATTCTGGGAGCCGTCCGCTTCCAACTTCAACCAGGAGGCTTCGAAAAGCTGCATGTCCACCAACCTGGGTCTCGCTGAAGGAACTATGAAAATCTTCTTTTCTTCGGTATTAGGTTCCAAAATGCACCAAACTCAAAAATTTTGGTCAGAATCGACCCAGAAACACAGGCAACTTCGGCTCAATGCACACGGGAGGGACCATGCCTTGGGTCTGATCAACCCTTGCCGACCTCCATGTGACTTAGATGGAGCTTATGGTAGGGCCGGGTAGGGCCAGCATCTATTAGGCATGATTGGCAACTGGTTTCCATTAAAGAAGGGGACCCCAGTACTTCATAATCCTTATCCTGGAGACCCTGAAAACGGGACCCCTGATTTTCGGAAACAGCCGATTAACATGAGGTGCTTGGCTGAGGCTGTCCCACCTAATGAAGAGAAGGCTCTCTCCCCCAATCTCTTCTCCTAATCGCCTGTCCAGACGATTCCAGACAGCGGTTTAGGGGTTCGGGTTTAGGGCTTAGGGCTTGCTACGTGAAACGGGCCTAATTTTAGCCTTCGCTTTGGGGAGGCATCCCCTAGTGAGATTCCAATCCGTAATGCAAATAACCTCCGCAAAGCCAAGCCCCAAAGTGCTCCAACCCTTACTACAATGATCCCAAACAAGGGACTGTAACTGTAAACTTACTATAAACCACTATATCCTTAAACCCCTAAACCCTAAACCCTAAACCCCAACCCTAATCCCCAAACCCCAAGGCCTAAACCCTAAAACCTCAAAACCTGAAAAATCCCAAGCCCGACCATGCCACCCATTTGGCAGCCAGTGCATGCCTCTGCCTCCTCAGGGGATGCCAGACCAAGTGGCTTTGCCTGACGGGGGCGGAGGGTCTAAGGATTCAGGGTTTAGGGTTTAGGATTGAAAGTTTA